AAGGAAGGAGTAATCGGAAGGAGATTGTTGGCGTGCATACGGAAAAGTGGACTCGTCAAAGGTGACGTGACGGGACACGATGACTTTGTGAGTGGCGAGGTCCAAGCACCGATCGGTAGCCACGTTGAGACTCGGGGTAACCAAGGAAGATGCACCGCGCAGACCGGGGGGCTAATTTGTGGGGGGTGGTGGCGGATAAATTTGGGTAGCAAAGGCAACCAAAGCCTCGCAAGTGAGTGTAGGGTGGTGGGTAATAAATTGAAGAGGTGAGTAGCCATGTGTAGGGCTTCTACCAAAAATTGGGGGGTAAGTTGGCTTGGAAGAGTAGGGTGCGGATGGTATTATTTATGGTACGGATGGTGCGTTCTGCGCGGCCATTTTGTTGACTGGTGTATGGACATGAAAAGCGAAAAAGAATACCCAAAGACTCAAAGAAGGTGGCGAGTGGGTTATTACGATATTCTGTGCCATTATCACACTGGACAGCTTTGATGGTGGTTTGAAATTGATATTTGACAAGGGCATTAAATTTGACCAAATGGGAATAAGCATCAGATTTATGACGTAAAGGAAAAACCCATAGATAGTGCGAGAAATCATCAAGTAATAGCATATAAAATTTAAATCCAGTCACACTAAGAACAGGAGATTGCCACAAATCCGTATGCATTAATTGAAAGGGAAACTGAGATACACGATTTGAAGAAAAGAAAGGTAGGCGAACATGTTTGCCTAGCTAATTGACATGCATAACAAAGAAAATCAAGTTTGGATTTATTAGTGCTATCTAAAAAGGAGGAGATGCCACGGAGCACAGCGGGACTTGGGTGGCCAAGACGGCGGTGCCAGGTTGGAAGTTCAACTTTGGAGAGATGGACTTGTGCTGGGGGGTGGGCTGAGGAGAATGGATAGAGATATCCGTCACTACTAGATCGATGAATCACAGCTCCCGTCACTTTGTCCTTCACAAAGAAACGAGATGAGTCAAATTCAACTCAACAATTGTTATTACGAGTAAATTGACGGACAAAGATAAGGTTATGGATAATATGGGGTGAGACTAAGACATTGTTCAGGGAGAGGGGGGGTTAGTTTGGAGCAAACCATTGCCAGAACCGGTTGTGCAAACTTTAGATCCATTACCTACAATGATATGAGAAGGTGAATAAATGTTTGATGAAGATACATGAGATAAAGTACTTGGGTCGGCAGTGATGTTGTAATGCCCCAAAAATAGGCCTATCGGATTTTAATTCGGAGAAAGTTGGACCAAAAAGCGTACCCCGACTGGGACCAAAATTAGTCCCAATCAAGGACTTGCGTTTAAAACCCGTAGAAGATCGCCGTTTGCTCCACTCAGCCGCTGGAACAGGGAACAAGGACATCACCCATGGCTTCTTCTACTAACCCTCTACTATAAAACCCCCAAATTGTCCACCATTCTTCATCATTCTTATCCCAATAGAAAGAGCTGAGTGTGAGGAGCGTTTTAGTACTACCAATTTGGTGTCAAGTTGCCGGAGCAAGCTGTGGTGTTCGCCGGAAGTTTCGCCGTCTTTTCACCGGAATCATCGTTTAGCATTAAGGTAAGCCCGTAGATATATCTAAAGACTAGAATGTTCATGTATGTTGTTTTTACGTTCATAAATGGTTGTTTGGTTGAATTTTGTGTTTGACATGTTTAAGAACCAAGAATCATAAACCTTGAATTTGATGTTAAAAATATGTTTTAATGATTCCAAAATGATCTATGAACCTTGGAGAACATTTCTATATAATTTAATTGGAGTTTGGTGATTAAAAATGATAATACTCGAAACTGACCAGAGGAAGAAGATGATGAACAGTAGCCGAAAATCGATTATTTACTTCTAAGAATCGATTAGAACTTTGTTCAGATGAGGTGCTCGAAGTCAGAAAAACATAATCGATTATTTTATTAAAATAAATCGATTTTTATTATATAATCGATTATTTATAATTTATAAATCGATTTTAATTAAATAATCGATTATTTATAAATTATAAATCGATTTTTAATTATTAATCGATTATTATTCATTAAATAATCGATTTTTCCACATTTATATATATATAAATAGATTATTTTATATTAAATCAACTTCAATTCGAGTTACTGCTTCGAAAAAATATTTCTCAAATTATGCTCTAAAATCCTACTTTTGATACCAACTAATTATAGACAATATAAATATGATTTTGTACAATAAAATGATGTTTTGACATATAAAAACATAATGTGATGCATGACGCTAAGTTCAGGTGTTAACACTCGATAATAGGCCACTATTTGTTATTAGATTTTATGATTGTTTGACTATTGATTATGATAAATTATGAGACATGATTTAAATTGCTTCCGCATTATGGTTAAAAACTCCGTAATTTATTACTGTTATGTATGGAATATTATTTTATGATAAATAAAGATGTTAAAATGTTTTTAATTTTTACGATTACCAAGTTAATACTTTAGTTCGAAAGGGGCTGCAGACCTGAACGGATTAGGGTGTTACAGATGTGGTGAGAGGCGCCTGTGTCCATTAGCCAGGTGGGGGGAGGGTTGAGGGTAAGGGATTCAAAGCCATGTGCTAGGGCAGTGGGTGTGTTGGGGTTCGGGTATGGGGATGGGGAAGGGTAAGGGGTTGTGGGTTGCTGGTATAAGGCGAGGGGGGTGACGGGTAAATGGGCGGGTATTGGGCAAGGGAGGTAGGGACGGGTGGGTAGTGGGGTTGGGTTAGAGGGTATGGGTAGTGATGGATGTGGGCCTGGGCTGGGTAAGGGGTAGTGGGCCGAGGGCCCAGTAGGCCGGGTGAGGGGGTAGGGAACTGCCAAGGGTTTGGGCCGATGGGTTGTCGTTGGTTGGAGCCGCGTCCACGTCCACGTCCGCGATAGCCTCCGTTGCCGCCCCGGTTTTGACCACCATAGGAGCCCTGTCCAGGGCCCTGTATGCTACTGCCGCCGCCTGCATGCCGCGGCTGCCCACTGCCGGCCGGCTGGCTGCTGCCGCCGCTAGTGCGGTTGACGAGCCGGCGCTAGAAAAGGTGTCGGCCTGTTGTTGTTCCACCAGGAGAAGTGCCGATCGAAACTCCAGGAATGACGGGAACGGGTTTTGATATTGCAAAAAATGCACTTGGGACCGGATGTCTTGGGGCAAGCCTTGAAGGACCTGGAGAACAAGGGCGTGTTCAGTCACCGGGGCATCCACGTCATCGAGATAGTCCGCCAGGTTTTTGAGGAGATGAAAATATTCATTGATGGACAGACTGCATCGCTCGAGCATATTTTTTGTCATGAAATAACTTATAGATCGCCTTCCACAAGGCATGGGCAGACGGGTTGCTGGCAAGGACGAGATCTGAGACTTCATCTGAAACTGTTGATAAAATCCATCCTTGAAGGAGAGCATCAAATTGGTACCATTCTACGTCGTCAGCGGAGGAGGCGACGTTGGTGCCATCAAGAAATCCCATAAGATTGAAACAGAGAACAAGAAGACGAAAAAGCCGACTCCATTTTTTGTAGTTCGGTTCTGAGATTCTGAGTTGAACGGGGATGTGAAGTTTGATATTGGAGATTGTAGTGAAGGCAAGATGGGGAGATTTGGTGGTGTTGTTATTGTCGGAGGTGACGGAGGATTTTTCGGCCATGGTTGCCGGCGAGAAGAGACTGCCGAGAGGGAAGGGAGGAGTTACGGCAGAGAGAGGGAGGCTGCCGAGAGAGAAGGCCGAGAGAGAGAACTAGGGTTTGAGAGGGAGCCGAGGTTTTTTATTGCTTCGATACCATGAAGAATGAATATTTTCCAATAATAATAATAGGGAGATTACAAGTGTATATATACATGTGGGTTTCCTAGTTAGGGTAGGAAACACATTTGGTAACCTATACACTTATGGTAATTACAATAATTACAATATTAAATATAGTAAAAGTATATTTAACAGTTATGATTATGATTTGCTTGCTTATGGTTTGATTATGTTTGATTTGCTAATTGTTGCCGTGATGAATGCCTATGCGTTGAAACTCATGTTTTTTGTACCCTGCCTTTTTGAATGTTGCCAAAAGGGGGAGAAATATTAGGCTTTCATATGCATATATCTAGGGGGAGTTTTTGTCAAAATATCACGTGCATCAACTTAGGGGGAGTTTTAAATCAATATATGCTTTTCACGATATGTTTGTGCGTTTGATATTCTATTCGAAAGCCTTATTTGTCAACATCAAAAAGGGGGAGATTGTTGGCCTTGAATGCCGTACCCCGTAACCGTCTTGATGTGCCAAATAAGTCTTCCAAATGCTACTAATATCATTTACAGGAAGAAACCAAACGCCAAACCTCTATTAGCTTGTTTAGCATCACCGAGATATACTCCTACGAGTTTAGAAATTATTGTGTAAAGGTAATGATATATTTTAATGATTTACTTATGCCCTTTCACTGAAAAATTAATTTTAAAATGTCAAATATATTCTTAGTTGGGGTTATTTTGAAAACGGAACACGAAAAACGAGTTTTGGAAAATTTACACAGGCCTAACGGTACCAGGCTACCGTGTACACGGCACTAGGCTACCGCCGGTAGCCAAGTGAACGTACCGCTGTACGTTTCACCCAAGTGTTACACGGTACCCCCCCTACCGTGTAACAGTACCTGGGTACCGACGATAGGCATAGACGGTTGGCCCAACCCGTCCTAACCAGGTACCGCCAGAGGCGAACCAAAGTTTTGGCCTACACGGTACCCCCAAACGGTAGGTTGTACCGTGGTCACGGTACCTAGGTACCGGACGGTACTGACCCTACCGTGAAGGGTACTGGATCCGTTGTAATCACTGTAGCAAATTGCCAATTTAAATTCAAATCACCCCTAATCACTTCCTAACGGCTTTTAACGTTAAAAACTCAAATTTTAACATTCCAAACTCCTATATAAACCCACTCTAAGTCTCATTTTACATACAACAACTTCCCAATTAAATCTAAAGCCTCTTTCTCTAATCTTGAGTGTTCTAAAAGCTTTGCTCTTATTTTTCTTACTCTTTTGAGTATAAAGCTTTCATTATTTTTATACACTCACACACAAGGGCATTTGTGCTTCATTATTTTATATGTTGCCTGTAGGGCCATGTCCTGACCGCGACTGTAGACAAACAATGAGGTGTCGCTCTTGCACCCACTGAAGCCAAGAGAGAGGACAAAACCCGTGAATCGCTAGTACCAAGATCGGGGGGCTTGTTTGAGTCCATAGAGTGCCTTGTTTAATTTGCAGACATAATGTGGGCGAGCGGGGTTCTGAAATCCCGAAGGCTGAGCGGTGTAAACAGTAATTGAGAGTTAGCCCTGCAAGAAAGCATTTTTGACGTCGAACTGATGGATCGACCATCCTATGGACACAGCGAGGCTCAAAACGATGCGTATAGTGGCCGGTTTGACAACCGGGCTGAAGGTCTCATCGTAGTCGATGCCATGGCGTTGATTGAACCCACGAACAACCCATCGAGCATTGTACCTGGACAGTTCACCTGTTGGGCCATGTTTGTGGCGAAAGAGCCATTTTCCAGAGATAGGGGGTATGGGGGAGCTGGATGCAACGATGTTTAGGTTTAGGATTTGTTTGAGGCAAAAGATTCCATCCTTGGATTGGGTGACCATAGGATGGGAGGGGGTTGTCCGGTTAGGGGCGGGTTAG